GTAATATTTTACTTCTTACCCCTCACAAATAAGGGTTTACCAGACAGAATAATGCAGAGTATTGATAATTAAGCAGACCATGGAAATTTAACTCTTTTACATAATGAATCATAAAGAGGCTTAACAACAAGACAAAATGCCGCAAGATCTCTCGCTTTTGGTGAAGAACCAGCATCCAATAAGTCTAAATACTGCACTCCTCTCGTTTTCAATTCTTCAACTCAAAAAACCCATTTAACCCTTAAAGCTATCAAGATCAACTAGAATATGAAAATGTTTTTAGTGACCGTGCGCACTATATAATTTCTACTTATACATCAGCAACGCCAAATTACAGTCTAATTAACATTGCTCTTCAGTATGAAACCGTTTAAAATCCACAGTAGATAGCAAAGTTTCCTATCGTAATGTAGGCCGCTTCGGAATCGTCTTTGAGATAATAGAACTCCACCGTCAACTTTAACAAGATGCAATTCAAACTTCATGGTTTTTTAATGTAAAAGATTTATTTGCGTGCTAATATTCTACCCGCAGTCAACTAATTTTGCTCAATAGATTGAAAAATCAAACCCTGTCATGAATATCATAAAAGTTGATATCCTAATTAATAAACAACCTAATAGATTTTTTTTTAATTGTACGTTGCTATATAACTCTGTTCAAGAGTCATACTGCTGTTTATGCGGTTCTTTGAACAACTTTAGCAATGAAACAAATATGTTAAATAGGGAAATGGCTTTCAAGCTGTAACACCACACGGATTTTACTATGGAACTCAATTTTTTGCAAATGACTTTAGATATGCAAGCGAGCAGCATTTATCAGGAAGTGGTCAAAAACTCCGTATGGTAGCTTATGCGCAAAGAAAAATATCTGCCTACCTAAAATAATGTGGGACGTAAAAAGTTTTTTTTACCTGTAAAAAATACGGACATGCATGAGTAAATGTTTTTAAAACGTCTCCTCTGCCCTTAGAAAGTCGGTCCGTGGTCTCTTGACCAAAGGAAAATCTTCCCTAGTCTCTATGCGTGAGGGAAAATGTTCTGCTGCCTCTGGATTTTAAAGTAGAATGGTCCGTCATCTCTGGATATAAAGAGGATGGTCCGTGGCCTCTTGACCTAAGAAACTTGTTACGTCTGCTTTTTTTTTTAAAAGCAGACGTAACAAGTTTTTTTTACCTGTAAAATCTTAAATTGTTTTTTGTACCTGTTTTCATTATAGATGTTAAAAAGTTTTTGTGAGAAAAGTGTATCAGTTGCGGGAGTAAATTAGTTTTTATACTTGTAAAATTGAAACCCATTGAGACTCTGGGGGGATATTCAATATACGACGGATGGACAAGCTGATAGTGTAATTATTATACTGCAACAATTATTCAAAATATATATCTCAAGTAGAAAACAAAAATGGCAAAATATTGGCGCGATATTAGATATCTTAGACAATCTTAGCCAAAAAATTTGATATTGCACCAATATTGTCTGGCAATATCACTCCAGTATCGGCTTACCAATATTGGCAAACAACATTGCGCCAATATTGCCATATCGATATTGGCCAATATTAGAATACCAATATTATCCTTATGTTGTTTTAGTAATATTGATATGCCGATATTGGCAAAATATTGTTTTACCAATATTGGTTTTATATTGAACAGGTAATATTAGACAATGTTGGCATTTTTCCATATTGATACGCATGCGTCCCTTGATGGAATATTCATAATGTCCATTATAGCAGGGAATAAGAGTAAAAATTTTGTAAAATTTTTATAGACATATTCCTAAAAGTTCAAATTGTGATCCCAGCATGAAACTTTTAGGAATATGTCTATGAATTAAATGAATTCAAAAAAAAAAAAAAGACTCCACTCTAGAAACATTTTTTAGGTCCTGGGGCGACTCCTAACCAGGGGTGAATCGAGTTTTTTTAAAACTTTGAGATATCCAACTTCCAGTAATGGAGCCAACTCTAAACATTTAATTGTTTATACTTATGTCAAATAAATATGCTTTGCAACATTTGCGGTTATTGGAGCCAGGGAAGGAAAAAACCTTAAACTTTTTACCCCCTTTACCCCAAATGTAAGAGCAGCAAGTTGATGATATATTTTTTTACTTTTTTCAACTAGACTTATATTCATCGATAAATTAAAAATTTCATAGTAAAATAATTTGGGGATTTTTTGTTCGCAGGCTTCAATCATCGCAATGTTTTGCAAAGTATTCGTGATTGACACAAGTATAAACATATTAATGTTTAATCCTTGTCTTAAATTTTTTTTTTTTTTTTTTTTTCTTCATTTGACACATTTTACAATGTTAATCTTACATTCAAATAAATTTGTACAAATGCAAGCTGACTTAGGCAAAAAGAAGACAAAATGTCTTATCATCAAGCCCCTTCGTGAAAATAAAAAGAAAAAAAATTTAACATTTTCCAATAATATATAAAAGAGTAAAATTTAAAAAAAGTTAAAAAAACAAATTAAAAAGTTTGAAAAAATCAAAAAGTTTAAAAGATAATTTTTAAGTTTGACAAAACTATTAAGTTTTAAAATAATAAAAAATAAAAAAGTTTGAAAAAATAATTTACAAGTCCGTACATATGCGTATACACATCTAATAAACTTCAAGATATTTTGAATTGAAAAAGAATCAGAACATTTTATAGATTTAAGTTCATCTACTCATATTTTTTTTAAAACAAAATTAAAACAGACAAACAAAAAGAAACAAGAAGAATATATATAAGAAGGATATATGTATATATATACATATACACATATACATATACACATATACACACATACACATACATACACACACATATATATGTATATACACATATACATACACACATATACACATATACATATATATATATATATATATATATATATATATATATATATATATATATATATATATATATATATATATATATATATATATATATATATATATATATATATATATATGTATATATATATATATATATATATATGTATATATATATATATATATATATATATATATATATATATATATATATATATATATATATATACATATATATACATATATATATACATACATACACACACATACATACATATATACATATACATACATACATATATATATATATATATATATATATATATATATATATATATATATATATATATATATATATATATATATATATATATATATATATATATATAAATATACATATATACATATATACACATGCAAAATACATATATATATATATATATATATATATATATAATATATATATATATATATATATATATATATATATATATATAAATATTTTTTAATTAAAAAAATGAAAGAATGTACGTATTTTTTAAATTTAGTAAGTGTTTTTTTATAGTTCTTTTAAATATATTAATAGATTTTATTTTTTTCATATTTTTGTCAAGAACCGAGTTCCACAAGCGTGGTCCTTGACATGTAATTGAGAAGTCAGACTTTTTGAGTGATGTTAGTGGGATGTAGTAATTATTTATTGAATGTCTTGTTTTATATTTATGATTAATAAGAGAGAAGTTTTTATAAAAATATTTTGGAATTAATTCTTTTTGAAGTTTAAACATAAATAACAAGATATGGTAGATGTTTAATTTGTATACATTTAGGGCATTTATTTCCTTGAGTAACGGCTCGGCACTTTCGTATCTATCCATGCCCGAAACTAATCGACTTGCTTGCTTTTGTTTTGTGTAAATAGTTTTTAGGAAAGATGAGTGATTGTTTGCCCAGGCAATACTACAATAGTTAATATGACTATGTATAAACGAAAAATAAAAACTTTTTAAAAATATATTATTCAAAAGAGGTTTAGTCTTATAGATTATCCCTAAAGTCTTTGAGACTTTGTTGTCGACTAGCTTTATTTGGCTTTAACAATTTAAATGTTCGTCAAAAATTATTCCAAGTGTTTTCATTGAAAACAAACTTTTTATTTTAATATTGTTAATAGTTAGTTCAGGTAGTGTAAGTAAAAGATTCTCGGATTTAGATGTTTTACCTAACAAAATAGATTTTGTTTTTTCAATATTCAATGAAAGTTTTTTTGCTATAAACCACTCATTGAGATATGTTAGTTCAGTGTTTATTATCTTGTTTATTATCAAGTTAGTTATCTCAAAGACTAAAAAACGCTAGATCAGTCAACTTAGTTTGAATTGAATGCAAAAACTATGTTTTCTTCAAAACCAATGATATAAGGTTGCATTAAGAGCAGAATTCAAAGACGAAATAGTTTAAAATAAACAGCGATACCACATTACTAACTAAACATGGTTAAAAGCGTAAAAAGAGTTATATTTATATTTCAAATACATATATTTCAAAGAAATAGAATTAATTTATTTCAAATTTTCGGAAAAAACATAATAATGATGAGATTTGTTCATTTTTATTCTTAACAATGACCAGAAAATTTGCATAGCTCTGTTTGCATTTGACAGGGCCTACGGCACTGGTTTCGAAGTAGAGGAGCACAACCATCAATTTCTAAAAAAAGTTCTCCTTATCTAGAAATTTGTGAAAATTAAAAAAAAGCTCCTTTAGAAAAAGATTTTGGAGAGAAGAGGTAGAGCCCCCCCTCCCTGGTATCTAAGGCTAAAATCTGTTGTGGCATCAATGATTGTCCCCAGCAATACTATATAAATAATTATATGTTAATACCATCTTTAAATATTTGGTTCAAAACTATTTTTTGAATAGGGTAATAAGTCCATTCATTATTTAAAAAATATGTACCTTTCTCGATTCACAGCTATTTTCAAATGCTGAAAGAGTGCTTCTTTTGTAGGTGGAAATTCCGCACTCTGCCGTGACATTTTAGTAAAAAGCATTCTTGAGCATATAGCGAGGTCAATAGTGAAACTTCTTTTATCATAAAGTAAAATTACGTAGCACTAAAACATCAACAGTGATGATACTCTGCATCAAGTGCAATTACTCTGCATCAAGTGAAATTACTCTCGTAAATGCTCTAATTATTTCTATATCTCTATTGTTCCAGAGACTCCATGCAAGTTTTTTCCCTCGTTCTGCAAATGAAGATAGGGTATTACAGCCAGTGAATGCAAACCACAATAAAACAACTTCTGCTTCTTTACGTATCTTTTGTGCGTAATCATGAATTGGATCTTAACAGGATCTGTGTTAATTATTTAAATACAGAAAACTTGATGCCAACTGCGTTTTTAACATGTAGCAAAAATCTAGTTTGAGCTTCCTGGTGGTTTAAGGTGAGAAATTGGACAAAACAATTTCATCTAACGTTGTTACTAACAGTAAGTCAAATGTCCGTACTTGTACAAATGTCCGTACTTGTACAAATGTCCGTACTTGTATAAATGTCCGTATTGTACAAAGTTTATTGTAAGCATTTAAAACGACTCATTTTGTTTACATCAATAGTAAGAACCCTGACCAGTTTTTATAAATGCGAGTTGAATCAGAAACACATACCCTCACACCATTCCCAAGACTCTCCCTTTTCTGGATTTTTTTTATAATAGAAAAAAAATTAATATGAAATTAAGTTTTATAATAATTGATCACAAATTAGTTTTTATGTTCATTTTTTTAGTTTTGTATATTAAAAACAATCCATTTTAGTCTTTCATAGCTGAATTGAGCATGAGATCTTAATCTCATGCTCATTTGAATCTCGTAATCGTAGGGTAAAGATTTACTTTGAGCCTCGAGTTGGTTGTCTTCAGGATACATTTACTACTGCTCTTTAGCTGTAGTAAAGGCAACCTATAATGGAGAATCAAAACACTGATAAAAATAAAATTGTAACAAACTCTTCCTTAATGTCATATTTAAAAAGAAAATATTATTATGAAAACATTTCCAAACCGCATATTTACAGTTAAAAAATAAAAAATAATCTGAAAATAATAGTTAATTTTACGTTTTTTTATATTATATATTTATTTGTTATCAATTTTTTAACTGTTTTACCATTAAACTGAAGATGGTAAAAAAGTTTATAAAATTTACTTTGGCTGAATTTTTTCAATGAAAAAAAAACAACATGAGTGCCTCGAATGTAATCTGTTTTTTATGGCTGATTGATGAAAAATTGGTGTATTGGCCAAATCAAATGCATCTTGCCGTGAGGCTATCATACGTGAACTCACGCTTCTAAAGGTGCTGAAAACAGCTGAAAATAAAAAAAATATTATTTTGGTAATTGTCTTATTTACAATATTGTTTTTAATTTATTTGAGTATTGTTTTTGTTTTTCATCTAATTAGCTTTTATTTTTTTTTGACTCAATTATAGTAACTGTTCAATGTTTAGTATGGTTTCATCTTATCTTTCTTTTTTTGAAAGTTATGAGAATGTTTTAGAAAGGATAGAAATGTTAGAGTTTACATCAAGCGTTGAAATGGCTGTTGATAGTGAATTGATATTAGTTAATAGTTTTCGGAAACAGTTCCATGCACTTTATTTATTAAAATGCAATTTATTTATTAAAAATTCTACTTTTTAAAATATATGATACATTCATATAAAACATACAAACAAATGATACAATATGATACGTGATTAATTATAGTTATGTTGTATATCAGAATGTTTTATATAAATGCTTATTACATTTTATTGTGATTTTTATCTTTTATGCCCAGTTAGCAATGTATTTTGTGTAGTAATGACTACTAATCTCAGACATCTATGACATCAAGGGTAGGATAAGCTCACAAAACTGTATGAAATTCTGAATGGTATTCTTTTTAGTGTTACATTATATTTTATAAAAAAAATCAGTCCTGATTTGCAAAAAAGGTTGATCTCTGGAATTGCATTTATTTATAACCAATTGCTTTTACTCTTCAGTAATGTCATACTTTAATTACTTTAACTACTTTAATTACTTTAATTACTTTAATTAGAATATCACACTATGAAAACCCGTATAAAATGTACAAATAAGAGAAACAAATAATTTTTTAATGCAACCAATTATATTCCATTTGTTTTTTTATTTTAGAAGAACTTTCTTGCTTCGGTTGGAGGAGAAGATTACAAACAATTTACAACGGCAATCTTAAAACAGCTAATGGCCAAAGAAGTATGTTTTTTGGCCAAAAAATGTTTAATGGCCAAAAAACTATTTTTTTTTAATAATGGTTTTTCAAATATTTAAAAAAACTTTTCTCTTTTTATATATATTTTCAAAACATTTGTCTACCCCTAATAGTGAGTCTAAAGAACACCATTTTGAAGCCTATATATCACTTTCGCTTATTGGCGAAAACATGAACTTAGTGATAATCTTTTGAAAAAGTGCCTTAATCCACTACTGATCCTACTAACTATATATAGTTGTCAAAATACAATATTTCTATCAATTTTCACAATAAATACTAGAATTCTGACCGGGAAAGAGCTTATACTTAAGAAAAAATGCCAATAAACAGTTAGAACATATTATATTATTGAACTATGTTCATTTCACCAAAAAAATGTATTTATTAAAAATCTTATTGAAATTTAGACAAACAATTGTGATTTCAATAAGATTTTTATTTTTACAAAAGAACTCCAAGCCTGTGTTTTCTCGCTACAAGCATTTAAATTTTATGTAAGTGCAAAATTTATCATTTTAATTTTTTTTGTCTTTTCATAATTCACAGACCTGATCATTAAACGGAAAAATGTAGTAGTCAACAAAACTTTATACAGTTGCTATAATATTTAAAAATTGCCTTAACTACACCGAGTAATTGATGTCTTTCAAAAAATAATATAATAGGGGAGAGTGGGGTAATGACGAACAGCTAAGCGGGAATGCAAATTATTACTATATATTAATGATATTTTTTGCTTATTATTTAGTCTAACCATTTGGTTAGAATCACTTAAAAGCAATTTTCATATATCTTATTAAAAAATAAAAAATTCGATTAAAAACAAAACCTTCGGTGTTCGGAATTACTCTACGTACGTGGGGTAATTCCGAACATACCGTGGGGTAATTGCGAGCATTATTGGCTAACAGCGAATAAAATGTTGATCAAAGCAAATCAAACTTGATTGAAGCGTTAAAATATTATTGAATAAAATTTTAATTAAATCAAACGTTAAAGAAACAAATATTAATAAATTTTATTCAAACCAAATAAAATGTTACATGAATGAAATGTAAGGTGACCTGGATACTTTCTGATACTATAGTATCAGAAAGTATGTGTGTGTACTTTTATCTTCTGTATACAGAAGCTAAATGTACGAATTGAATACAAAATTACATAAGTGTTTTTTACTAATTTATTAGTGTTCTGTTCTTTATACGCATTTGAGAGCATATATATATATATATAATATATATATATATATATATATATATATATATATATATATATATATATATATATATATATATATATATATATATATATATATATATATATATATATATATATATATATATATATATATATATATATATATATAATTATATATATATATATATATATATATATATATATATATAATTTATATATATATATATATATATATAGATATATATACATAAATATATATATATATATATATACACATATATATATATATATATATATATATATATATATATATATATATATATATGTATATATATATATATATATATATATATATATATGTATATATATATATATATATATATATATATACATATATATATATATATATATATATATATATATATATATATATATATATATATATATATATATATATATATATATATATATATATATATATATATTTATATATATATATATTTATATATACAGGGCCGGCGCGACTAGGTGTCACGTGGGGGGGTGCCATTACAATTTTTGCCGACTACAAAAGAAAAAAAAAAAAAGGTCCTCGTTTTCCAAAATTTGCCGACTGTCATGACGACATTTGCCGACTGTCTAACCCATATCGAAAGGGTCCACATTTGCCGACTAACTAGGTCCAATTTGCCGACTAAGGGTCCAATTTGCCGACTAAGGGTCCAGTTTGCCGACTAAAAATCATTGATGGGGGAGTGTCACACACCCCCACCCCCCTATCGCGCCGGCCTTGTATATATATACATATATGTATATATTATATATACATATATATATGTATATATATATATATATATATATATATATATATATATATATATATATATATATATATATATATATATATATATATACATTTTACAATAATAAACTAAATAAATAATGTATAATAACTTTAATTAAGAATCATCCGTGTGTTATCATATACGCTAGAATACTTTAAAGACAATAAGTGTTCGCGATTACCCCACTAAGATCGTTCGTTATTTCCTCGCGATACAACCAAATGAAATGAAACGAATATATTGAGGTAGTATTATCATACCCTAAATATAATACGTGTTACAAACTCCATGATTATGATACTTTGCAACAACATAAATAAAAGTGTGGTTTTATATACATAGTATAGCCAATACATAAATGTTTCGCAAATAAAAGTTACATAAAACTAAGAGAAAAACTTAAAATCAATCTACCGTGAAGAACCTGCGCATTTATAATACACTATTGCACGTCTGGAACTGAGCATGGAACCCACTCTTGTCAGAAAAAAAAAGATTGTCAGCTATCCTTTTCTAACATGCCGTAACGACCTTGTTCGGAGTTACCCCGCGTTCGCCATTACCCGACTCTCCCCTACCACATTTTTTTTGCAGTTTTACAATATTTTAATGCTGCTTATTCGTAAAACGAAAACGTAGGTTAGTGCTAATATATATTTAAAATGTTTTCTCTATTTTATTTGTTTTTCAAAATTACAATGATAGTTTTACTCCTCATGATGTAACTTTAACATTTACAGCATAAAACATACTACTGTCAATGTTACCTAATATAGGGGTGATATTGATAGTTAAACCCCAAAAACAAGATTTATTATTGCCCATTATAAATAGGCTAGTTAAGATGCATATATTTGGGACCATAAGAAATTATATTCATAAAACCGACAGTGACAATTCATCAAATGTCAACAGATCTAAAGATATATTGATAATCTTAATTATATTACAAGTAACAAATTCATTCAAAAATCATACGTCTCAACATTACTTCTCTCACAAAAAACTTTATATTTTTGACTATTACTATTATTTACAAAATTAAATATAACATATTTGGAAAATTCGAATCTAGACTCCTAAAAAATCCAACTCCTTCTTCTAACAACTATCTTAATGGGCTAAGTACAAGTGTCAACTGAATATCATGTTGGAGAGGCAGTATTGTATATCAATAAAAATTTGCATATAAACCAAGAAATAATCTGACTATAAAAAAAAGCAAAAGAACTAGAATCCATTTTTATTGAAATAGTAAAAACAAAAAAATCTAATATCATCATTGGCTGTGTATTCAGGCATCCAACCATGTCGTTGTATGACTTTAACTCATTCAATCCTTAACTAATAATACTATATAAAGATAATAAAACTAATATTTATCCTCGGAGACTTAACTTTATAACTTTTTAAAATTTTATTGTAAAAATCAGTCTTGATCTGTAATAAATTTGACCAATGGAGTTCCATCTATTAGTAACCAAACACTTTTACTCTCTCATAATGTCATATTTTAATAAATCACATTATGGAAACCCGTCTAAAATATACACATGAGTGGAATAATTAAACTTATATGATAATCAACTAAATTACATTTTTATTTTTTTTTATTTTAGATGAACTTTCGTAAATTAGACGGAAAAGATGGTTACAATCTTAATACAGCTAATGGCTAAAAGAGTATATTTGTTATAGTCAATGTATGGAAGGAAACAAAGGTTGTTATAAGTAAAGCACAATTTTTGTATTCTACATCCCATTTCTTTTGAATAAACAAATATTCTAGTAAAAGCTATTTATTTTACAATAATAGTACGTGAAATACGTTGTATTTGTTCAATTTGAATATGCTACTGAAAAAAGTATTAAATAAAGAACTGGCAGCTTTCTGGTCACAGTCATTGTTAGAGATGATAAAAGAAATTATCGAACCATGATTGAGCAACGCTCAATATTGAGCAATGAAATAAGTACCAACAAAATAATGAAAGTCAATGCCCACTATCTGGTAATGAGATTATAATGCAGTAGTTTGTAAATATAAATACATATTTTTTGCGCTTGTATTTAGATGTATTTTATTTTGTTATATTTTGGTTTTCGAACCACTATATATATATATATATATATATATATATATATATATATATATATATATATATATATATTTCGAACCACTATATATATATATATATTTACCCAGCAAAAACTGTAATAAATTTTAATTATTAAAAATTTGTCAAGACATTATTGTTTTTTATTAGTTTTCAATAATAAAAATTGTTAACCAAAAATACTCAATATTGGCTTAATATAATTTACAATATTGGCTTAAAATAATTTACAATATGCTAATATTGTAAAATATATTAAACTATATTACACCAATATTGGCCAGTATTATATCCCCAAAATTGGCGTGATATTATTTACAATAATGGCTCATTATTGTAAACATTATTGCGCTAATATTGCAACGTGAACATTTTGAAAATATTGGCTAATATTGACTTGACATTATTGGTGCAATATTGTACCGCTAATAATGGCAAAATGTTCACATGGCAATATTGCGTTTACAATATGGCGCCAATATTGTAGACAGTATTGCCAATATTGCGCCAATATTGTTTGCTACTTGGGATAATGTTAGCAAAATATGTCAATAAAATAATGATATTTTTAAAATGAAAACAATCTCAAAACACGACGTGTTTAATAAACTTGTAAGAGTCTTAAGTCTCTTTCCGCTTTGTTCGGACTATCTTATTCGTAAAACCAATCTATTAGGATCACAGTCATTTTAGTGTTATTAAATTTTTAAACTATCATACATTTTATTTATATTCTTTTTAATTTAAACAAATAAGAATAGAAGAATTTAATCATCATCACTAATGTAAAGTAAATTATTAACGCGAGAGTTTACAAATTTATCAAATAACGTTTTAAACATTCTATATTATAATTCCTATGGGAGTCGTATTCATTGGTTAACCTTTTAAATACAGTGTTAACATATATATATATATATATATATATATATATATATATATATATATATATATATATATATATATATATATATATATATATATATATATATATATATATATATATATATATATATATATATATATATATATATATATATATATATATTATTTATATTTATATATATATATATATATATATATATATATATATATATATATATATATATATATATATATATATATATATATATATATATATATATATATATATATATATATATATATATATATATATATATATATATATATATATATATATATATATATATATATATATATATATATATATATATATATATATAGCATTAACAAAACTTTTGATTTTAAAGTACTTTAGACTTTTATAAATTAAGTAATTAATAAAACAATTTTAATACTTTAATTATTTCTGTAAAAAACTATTAGTACTAGTAAAAAACTATTAGTAACTAAATTTGTAGAAACCATAAACTAGTTTTAATTTTTAATCAATAATACATACAAGTTATAACATAAAATGATAAAGTTTATGGACTTTCATTTTCTTATTTAAAAATGCTCTATTCGAATGATAATACAAATGAGGAATATATTTATAAAAATTAAAAACGGAGTTCTTCAGCTTTTAAAGAAAAATTTTTGTCAATATAAGGTACACTTTACATATATTAAAATTAAAATAATAATCATATAACTAAACAACTTGTTTGTTTATTCATATTATTCAAACAGCTTGCGATATTATTTTTTGTTCTCATTGTATCTGGATGGTTGATACCTAAAATTTCAGTTCGTATTTTATCAACAGAATAATGAATTTCTAAAGCTTCGTTATATTTTCCCATAGCGTACAAACAGATTGCGATATTATGTTTTGTTCTCATTGTATCTGGATGGTTGATACCTAAAATTTCAGTTTGTATTTTATCAACAGAATAATGAATTTCTAAAGCTTCGTTATATTTTCCCATAGCGTACAAACAGATTGCGATATTATGTTTTGTTGACATTGTATCTGGATGGTTGATACCTAAAATTTCAGTTTGTATTTTATCAACAGAATAATGAATTTCTAAAGCTTCGTTATATTTTCCCATAGCTTTCAAACAGCTTGCGATATTATTTTTTGTTCTCATTGTATTTGGATGGTTGATACCTAAAATTTCAGTTATTATTTTATCAACAGAATAATGAATTTCTAAAGCTTCGTTATATTTTCCCATAGCGTACAAACAGCATGCGATATTATTTTTTGTTGTCATTGTATCTGGATGGTTGATACCTAAAATTTCAGTTTGTATTTTATCAACAGAATAATAAATTTCTAAAGCTTCGTTATGTTTTCCCATATTGTCTAAGCAGCTTGCAATATTATGTTTTGTATCAAGCGTGAATTTATTATTTTCACCATAAGTTTCTGTATTAAAACTTTGAATACTTTTTAATATTTCGATTGCTTCTTCAAACAAACCTTTACATACTAATAATTTGTTAATAGATGTCGTCATATTATGGAAGGTTTTTGAAAATTTTTTTATGTTAATGCGAAACATATAGATAAAATGGAAAAGAATATGGTTTCCGTAATCCATGTGATCGTTTACTTCATTCAGTTCAAATTTAAAATAATTCTTGATTAAACTAATATACGTATTTGTAGTTGAATTTCTATTTTGAAAACATCTACACGTCAGCTGTGTCAGTTCGTGCATTGAATATTTTTCATCATCAAAACAGTTTAGTAAAGAATAACTCATTAGTAACCCAACGGCTTCATCTATTACATATTCTTCGTTTATTTCCATTTGTTTTGAAATTTGGATTATAAACTCTTTACTTATGTTTTTACCGTCGCAATGAGATAAACAGTTTAATAGTTTAAATGGAAAAGGTTTACTTATTTCTAATTTCATTAAAACTAAGTTAATTGCTTTAATTGCAGACTTTGGTTCTTCTTCGGTTTGAAAGTTATTGTCTATTATTTCTGATGGTTTTGATCTATATCGTTCTACGTATTTTTCTATCGAAATTCTCTGTATATTTATATATTTTATTGCCTGAGTAATAGCGAACGGATGATAACCAAGTTCTTTTATTAAGTTTTTTATGTTTTCATCGGGGTTTTCTTTAATATTATTTTTGACATAAGCGAATGCTTCTTCTGAAGTAAAAACATCGACTAGCATTTTATTTACATTATTCGACCACGTTCTCCATTGTGAGGTAATCAACGTAAATGAATCCGGTTTTTTTGAAATGTATATGGTCAGGTTTTTAACACTTTCATCGTCAACATTGTCAAAAATATACAAAGTCTTTTCATTTTTATAATAATTGTGAAGTTTTTCAACAATCACTTCCATATTTAAATAATCACCTTTCGAATCATGAACATCGAATCCTAATATTTGGCATTGGTTTCTCATTGAGGTTTGTAACTTTCCAAATGCTGCGTCAATCCAAACAAAGTTTTTGTAGAAGTTATAATAAATTTTGCAAAACATTCTTGCTATTTGTGTCTTTCCAACACCCGACATTCCATATAATACTAAAGTTGACTTGTTTGCTACATAAAAAAAATGTTGAATTTCATGAAGTAGTTTTTCGCGTGAAAATAAATTTTCTGAAAAAGGTTGCACTCCTAAAAATGAAAGCATGGTTAGTTAAATTATAAAAACTTATCGTCTCAATTAAAATAAATGTAATATTTATTTTAATAAAAAGTTTCGTTTTTTTACTAAATCTTTTCTATTTTTTTCAAACGCGACGCGTTATTATTGCATAGTTAGTCTAATTTTAAAAAATCTTAATATAAACAAATTATAAAATTTTACTACCTTTAAAAATATTTTTGAATTAAGTCTCAAGTGAGAGTATTAGTATTCATTTAGAAAACGTTTTTGTAAACAAAACTTAATTTACTTTGTAAATTTAACAATTTGAAATCAATTACTCTAGAGGATACAAACAAAAGTTTTAATTTAAATTTTACTAAATTTAAATTTTAAATGAGTTTTGAATGATTTTTTTTTAATTTAAATTTTAGTAAATTCTAAAAGAACTTAAAATTAAACGCGACGCTTTATTACTATTATTATTATTATTATTTTTATTATCATTATTATTACTATTATTATTATTAACCAAAAAGAACGTTTTTTTTTTAATTTGAATTTTACTAAATTTTAGTTTTAACTTAGTTTTGAAGCTTAAAACGTATGAAAATAAAAATAAAATTTTTTAAAGCCTGTGTTCTACCAGCCCGGATTACAAATGTTTAGATTTTCATAAAATTTCTATTTTATATTTGCTTGTTTATTTCATTACGATTTCTAAAACTTTGTATTAATTAGTTAATTAATAAATGAAATATTTAAATTAAGGAAAACTAACCAAAGTAGATATAATGATAGATTTAATTATCAGAAGAAAGATTGCTTGCTCTGGTTATGATATAAAATCTAAAAGTTAGTCCCCCTCAAACTTATAGTCAATATTTCTATAAAGCTGCAGCCAGAATACTCAAAAATGGTTTCTCGATTTATATTCTGATCATTGTTTATAATCATTTGGAAAGTGAAGTACAGATAACTAAGGCATTAGTATGATGTCTATTAGTTTCTACTCTGAGGCTTTAAAGATAGAAATTTGCAAATCTAAATTGAACTATACAGCCAACATATCTAGATATTTTTTTTTTAGATGTATCTATTTCTTATTGTCATAAGTAATCATGTAACCAGTAAACATTTTCCGTTTTTTCGATGTTAAAATCAGTTAAAAGATGTAATAGTTACTTTCGGTTAAAAAGCCAAAGGAGACAAGAGATTTCTTTCCAAAGTTTGCCGAATGAATTTGTTTCATATGAAGCAATTCTTAAGTCAGTTTATTTTCAGTCACGTCACATGAATATTTATGTGATAAATGGGAGCAGACACTCTTGATCTCTGTTTTGAAGAGTTTGTAATATTCCCACTTATTTATTTATAATCACATAACCACTGTTGCTCAAGCAAATAACTCGGGGCCGGGGCCCCAAGCAATTAGCTTGGATGACTCACCGTCTGCACGGCTCTGTTTAAATCTTATCTGAACGTTGATAAAAAAATTGTTGTTAATTTTAAAATTAGATCTACACGTACGTGTATAATTTAGAGACAAAAATAAATTTTAAAATCAAGAAAAAATTTCTTGAATGTCTGCGAGCAGTGAGTCCACCAATCACAGCATCAAAAATGTGATAAAAATCCGTTCCTCTATATATTGCCTTTTTTCCTGATTCTGTTTCTGTTGATTCCGTGATATGCTTATCATATTCATGTGGCTCTAGAGCAAAACAATTGCGCTTTTTTTTTTAGTTAACATTGTGCTCAAGCAAAATACTCGGGACCGAGGCCCAAAGCAATTAACTCGGATGACTCGCCGCCTGCATGGCTCTGTTTAAATCTTATGTGAACGTTGATAAAAAAATTGTTGTTAATTTTAAAATTAGATCTACACGTACGTGTATAATTTAGAGAATGTAGAGAACAAACGTGTTCTCCACATTTTACACGTTAATTTGAACACTTTTTTATTGCTATGATAATTTTTCAACTATAGTTGAAAGTTAACTATTGTTACAAACGTTAACACAAGAACAACTTTTGAATGTTAGACATAAGACATTGTTTGCAGGGGTGATCAAAATTATAGCAAGTGTAGCATTTACTAGAGTCAACATATTTTAATTTATAATTATTTTAGTTTTTGAATATACTTTAATGCAAAAGAATGAGTCTAAATAATAAACTGTTTTTAGTCCAGCCGTTTTAAAGCTAAGCAAAGTTTTTATGTTACGAGATTATTTAAGTTGAAAAAATAATAATAATAAAAAAAGTAATGCATTTTACTTAAAAAGTAAAATGCGTTACTTAAAAATACAAGTTTTTACTGGTTCAGAAGTCATTTTAAGAATTATTTTAAAATAAATGCTATTTCATTGGCTCATAAGAATTACTTTTAAATCATAATTATTTCATTAACTTACAAGTTATTGTAAGAATGTCACAAATTTATATTTAAAAAAAAATATTGCTTGTCACAAATATTTTGCGAGTCGAATACGTATTCGAAATATTTCAAATCGTAATTTAAATTAACTGAAAAAAAAAAAAAAAAAGGCAAATTGGCAGTTGTTGCAAAAGGTCTTTAATCAAATTTTTAAATATAAAGTTCTACCCGGAAAATTCTTTTTACATTTAAACTATTTAGATACAATCTTTTTATTAACAACGACTTCTCATGTTAGGACTAAGAGTCATCATGCAAGAACTTGAAACAGATATTGTAATAAGAAGAAAAAAAAAAACAGTTTTCTTGAATATCTTGGTTTATTCTTAGACGTTGCTTTGATCATTTTACAATTACTTATCAACGTTAATACAAGACCTGCGTTTAGATGATAGATACTAGAGATTGTTTGCAGGCCGGACCAGGAACTTAGTTGTCTGCCGAGAACCATAAGGCTGTATGTCTATTTTTGTGTTACCCAGAAACTCTAGTTTTAAAACTTAATTTGTAAAGACTTTCTGCCAGAATGTCCGACTTTTTTAAATATTTTTCAAAGTTGCATCATTTTTGAGACTAAACTTATTGGACACATATTGTATTGATTGTTGAATATTTATTGATAATAAACAGAAAAAACACAAAATGTGGATATGCGGCCTCTTGTTTCTCGCCTGACGATGTGTAGCAATTTCTATAGTCAACCTGTTTCAATTTATTATTATTTTGTTTTTTAAATATATTTTATGCAATGTAGTATAATTGTTAAATAAGACGCTGATTTTAGTCCAACCAGGATGATTTAAAATCCTGACTAAGATTAGTTGACTATGTTATGGGTTTATTTAAGATGAAAAAATAAATAACACAAAACTACACTTAAAAAGTTAGGAAGAAACTTAGAAAGATAAAACGATTATCTTTTTAATTGAAAAAACCCAATTTTTATGCACTTTATCTCACAAGCTTTTGCATCGGTTCATAAACCATTTTTTAATGAATACAATAAATGCTCGATCAATTAACATAAGAAAACAATAAACTTTTAGTCAAGATAATGTCACATAATCTCTCTGTTAGAGTTTTTGCCGATTTCATGTTCAGTGGATGAAGTTATGTTTTTAATTTTAAAAAATGCTAGTTGATTAGCTTGGTTGGGAGAATTACTTATTTTATAATCAACTGCAGGGTCTATATTGCAAAAATTATTAAAATCTTTTTTTTTTATGATTGAGAATAGGTTGAAAATATTGGCATGCACTGGGTGGTTTACCTAAGGTAAAGAAAAAAAAAGGCAAATTGGCAGTTGTTGCAAAAGGTCTTTAATCAAATTTAAAAAATATAAAATTCAACCCGGAACATTCTTTTTACATTTTAAATTATTTTTTAAATTGTTTAAAATTTATTTATAAAGTTTGGAAATAAAAAACTAACATGGATGATAACGAATTGCGGCCGATTGAATTTGCAGCTTCACCTTTAGCTAGAAGCTAATCAGTTTAACTTGCTTCAAACAGTGATACAGTAAAAAATGATTTTGAGAATTTTTTCGTGCAGAATTTATCTCTAGAAAAATCATAGTTGTGATTGTGTCCAAAAAAAATTATTGTGTAACATTCATTACCATAATGAAAGTAAAACTTTTTAAAAATAAATTTCTTTTTAATGAAAATTAGAAAAAACAATTTAAAAAAAGTAATTTTGATTAAGGAAAATATTATAGTTATTTAACTATAAGCTTTAAATTTTTCCCTAATTTAATATAGGTTTTTTTCCCTAAATTAATAATAAATTATTGCAAATTAATATTAAATCAAATGGATTACTAAATGTTCTTAAAGAACAGAGAATGTAATAATTTAGTAAAAACACTTATCAAAATATCATCTGCAGTCTGTTTTCTTTCAGCAAGTTCAGAGGCTACCTGATGAACATGCCGATGGGGAAACAAACTGTTGAAAATATTTAGATAAATGTTTTTATTTATCTAAGTTTTAGGATAAATTACAAAAACCCTAGTTGTATAACAACTATTATAATATCAGAAGTATCTCCAGTTAAAGCATTCTTTTATTAAGGTGGAGTTAGAAAAGCTAAATGGAATTTAGATCAAAATTCCGTAAAACAGTATTATTCCATAGATGGTAACTTTGATTTGACAAAATGAATCATATAAAAAAGTAATGTTTCTTGTATCGTATTTGTTGTTAGGTCTCAGGTATTATAAAAACTGGTAAGGAAAATTTTTTTTTCTATATATATACAACACACCCTTAAATCGGGGATTTAATGCTGAAAAAATATCCCATCAAAATCCTTTTAACTAACGATTGTTTATATTATAAGATTCTCATAACCACAAAAATTGAAATCATAGTTTGAAATCCAACAGTGTTATTTTAACTTGATTTTTTTGTGCTGAAAGTTAAACTTGACCGTTATGTAATGATAGATACACCTCTTAAAAACGCATTTTGTAAGTTTTTAATTATCAAAGTGATAATTAATCGCACTAAAATTTGTATAGGTACTTATAAAAAACCTATTCGGAATTTCAATAGATTTTTTTGAGCTTAGAGAATTTACTTAGCATATCCCTATCACATACTTATTGTTTACGTCTATGCAAAAAATATTTTCTTTCCCCCTAAAAATAGTTTTTTTCCTTCATGCCTTCTTTTGCTAAACATCATTCCGCAGAAATTCCGTTTGTTTAATCTAAATGAAAAGAGCAGACAGGCAGCCTGAAAATTTGAGACCCTAAAGTGATGAAAAATCCCAAGTGGCGATACTGTATACCATAAAGTAT